AATGTTTTACGAACTTTTTAAGGAAACTTTTTATACCATCTACATTTCAGTTATTAATATTGTATTACATTTAGCATGCAGTACTGAATGGTGTTGCGTTTCTGTGAAGGGGTGTGCTATTCATAGGATAACTTATACCAAGGACACAACAAATACGAGAGTTTTGTGTTTCACTCAGCAGCTTTATTTGGAGAATCGAAAACAGTGATAGTATATTACGACATATGTAACAAAATAATACAGCTAACAATATTTACTCACCTGCATGGTTGACCAGTACGTCTATTCCACTGGGATATACGACTTTTATTTGCTTACAGAGATTTTCAATTTCAGATCGTTGATGTAAATCAGCTTTGATGTAATGACTTGTCACCCTGAATTCACTGGAGGGTAGATCATTCAATAAGAGAGACAAACTCCACATGAATTAAACAGGGTTAGTGCATTCAGTTGATTCGGGGTCAATCTTGAAGTCTTTATGCCCAGCGTGACCTTTCAGATACCTAATTGTCCATATATGCCCGGGGCATGTTATGTGTTTGACCAACATATTAAATATTAATGCATTATCGGATCTCAAAGCTACCCTGGGAAACTACGTGCCTGGTCATGGTTTCTGAACTCTGTACTAGGGTTTCAGACCTGCCATGATGACTTGAATTCAGTTCAGTTTAATGCTGGCTGAGAGTTTCAGCTGCATGTGCCTCATATTTGTAGCTCTGTATTTTTAGTTTTAAATGTTCAGCGTCGTCCTCATTTATTCTTCCATGCAGAATTCATACCCACTTCGTGCCAATGCCTGAGAAATACCGTAACCGATGTTTCCTGTGTTTGAAGACCCAGTTATCAAGGCCAGCTTACGAGCAGAGATCCCAGAAATCGATAAAGAGCGCATGGCAAATGCGCTTGTCTCCGAGAGAGGGACATGTATGGCATTTCAATGATTGGCAAACAGATTTATCAGAGGACCGTCTCAGAGACGAATACCACCCACTGGGGGATCTGCCACTTGATGTTCTAAAACCGAATACGTCTCGAGAGGACATCTGCTGCATTGCACTGCGTATTCCCTGAAGGCGGTGAGCCATTAGCTCCACTTGGTTCCAGGCACCAAATAGGATCTCCTCCGCTAGCTTCAATAACATGGGGAAAAACACCCCCCTCCCTCTTGCTGATGTGCGACATTACTGAGTTGTTGTCCGTCTGAAGCAGGACTCTGTGGTGGTGTGTGACCTTATGAAAATATTTCAGAGACAGTAGGACGGTCTGCAACTCCAACCAATAGATGTGATAGCCCACATACATGGCCGGCAACGTCCTTTTGACTGGAAGGTCCATCAGATGGCCGCCCCACCCTTGGAGCGATGCATCCGTAATTATAGTCAGCAAGGGGCACTCCCCACTCACACTGCACCTGATAGGGGCAGAGAAGTCCTTGCTCTGTGTTGAACTGCATACCCAGAAAGAAATAGGTTGCAGGACGGTATGGGAGTTGGACTTGAGAATATTTAGTAAAAAGCCCAACACCTCTCTGTCTCGTTGTAGTATGGGTTCAGATAAACTGATGTATGATGAAGCAGCTGGGTTACCTTTCTAACCGAAAGGGAGGGCGGTAAACTCGTAACTTTGCCCTTTAAGGGTAATCTGAGATACTGGCTGCAAGAGTGGTGAATGGGGATGTTGAAATATGCATTGCTCAACTCCAGTGACGCCAGCCAATCGCTTGAGTGCAAGATCTGGGAATAGAACCACTAGGTTAGACTGGCGCAGTCGGGGCGATTAATTTGTTTTTGTAGTTTAAATAAATTAAATACATTGCAAAATCCCTTGTAACTGCGAAATCACCCCGACTGGTTTACTCTGCATGGCCCTCTATCGACACTGCAGGAACCCGTCGATTTTTCACGGG